GGGGGGGGGGGTCCTTTTGTAATTAGCTTGGAGTCATTTTAAAAACAAATATAAGGAAAGTATATTTGGTTAATTGATAAAGATTATTTAAAAACACATTCATATATTGTCAAAACTATAATGTAGAAGAAAAGCTCAAATCTAACTAAACTAGCACCTTTTACATTAATTTAATGAATAAATGAAATAAAATAATATTATCAACATCACTAATTCACTATAACTAAATGGTTGCAAAATTACAAAACTATATTTGTTTCAATGGAAATATAAACGCAAATTTTCAAATGTAGTAATTTAAAACGCGATTTTTTTTATTTTTTTTTAATTTATGCAAATTGAAACGTGATACCAACTACCAAGTGATGTAGCACGAAAAATAATTCAGTGGATCAGCCTGAGCGGTTAGCTCGGATAGGCCGGTCCAAGGACGCTTAGAGCTAATTTATGTGATACAGGGTATTAGTTAAAGATATTCATGAAAGTTGGTGTATATTTACACAATTATTGAGGAGTATCAGAATTCTTGTTTATTGAGGAAACTCACTATCCAGTTAATTTTTTAATCCTAAGTTCTTAAGATTACTTAAATACAAGATCAAAATATTGGATTTATGACTTGAGCGTCGAAGTGTTACGCCGGGCCCCACTCCGGCGCTTTGCATGTCGATCTAGTTCTTGAAGAAGAAAAGGCAATCGAGATGGTCCGAACTCTCACGCAATCGAGATGACGCGGTTCGACCGACAACCTTAGTGAGTCGATTATTTTGGCTCATCACCAATCGAGATGGTCCGAACTCTCACGCAATCGAGATGGTTAAATTACAATTAAATAAAATGTTGCATTCTGTTTTATAAATAAACAGTTTTATATTGTGTTTGTTTTTTTTTTGGTACAGGGACCTTCTGGTTTCGGTGTTATATTTTATTTGTATTTTTATTTTATATATTGCTTTCGTATCACTTTATTTCTGCTTATAAAGACGTTTTCTAAACCAATTTCCATTTCAGATTAATCGAAAATCCTACTACAGCGACTGCGGGAATTTGCTGGAGACGAAAAAATTATCGCCGGACAGAGACTCTCGACGGGCTGGAAGGCTCTCTCATCGGAATAATCATCCTCCCAAGGTACGAAAAGGGCGGCGGCCGGCGGTTTCATCGAGGGCACGGATTTCGCCGTGCCTTTCATTTTTCACGCTTTATTGTCAAGCTCTTCTAATATATTGGTACACTACTCTTGTTCTATTGTTTGCTGCGCATCGTTGTTTGATAATCCTTCAGTGTTTTCATCTTTTCTCCGCGTTCGTTAGTCTAAGATCTTGATAGCCATGGACAAGCTGAATTTTCAACAGTATCATTCTTTTTTTTTTTTTTTTTTTTT